CAACCTACAGCTGTATCTGCTGCAGAATTAGATAACCTGTAATTTTTTAGTGGCCTAACATTTTGAAAGTGAAAAGTATTCTAATGAAATACAAATTAACAAACATAAATAACCCTTGGAATAAATTCAACTGTTCCGTAGAAAAGGAATGAGAAGCAATGCATGTCCAGATGCCTTTTCCCCTTAATTTAGCCCAGTTGTGAGTTGGGTTTGTAAAATGATGGCTGTGTACATTTTTGAGATGAGAGATGGCACTCCTTCTTCCACTCTTCCATTTTAATCTTTTTGCTCCTTTCCAGGGGTGGAATATTGTAAGAAGGCCAGAACTTGCAAAAAGAGACATCTGTATTGTAGATCTTGCTGATAATATTTGTTAAAGTTGCCTCTTTTCATGGTCAGATTTTGTTTTCTGTTGATTGCAGCTGTTTTTAACAGCAATTATTTGGAATGAAATCTAAATGTCTGTCCAGCTAATTCCTTTTAGAAAATTATAGAGGAAATAGTTCTGCTGCTTCAACAAGTTAAGAGACTACACAAAACCCCCCATTATTTTGTTATTATTAAAATTTCTAGAAAGTGTTCTGCAGCATGACCTGGATGCAATTTGTGTGTCTTTAGGGCATATAGTTCCTGTAATATTGCACAAAGGAAAGGAAGGAACTTATTTTCTGCAGATGAGGTACCCAGCATTTTGTTCAGAAACAAGCTTAAAACAGTCTATCAATTTGTTGATAGATCCTGCAGTACAAGGATCTCATTGACTTGTACTGCAGGCATATTTAAATCAGACCAGCAATCCTGCAGTGAGTATCAAGATGAGCAGTCAGTGATTGTCCATGAAAAAACTTGTGTGAAATGTTTTGCCTAACTTAATGAGAATTTTACCATAGAAAGGAGAACTTAAATCAGTCATAAATGTTTTATTTTTCAACTTTCACATTTTTATTTCTGCAGCGTTTGAATTCTTTGAAGTAAATTACCAGTGGCTAATATTGTTGTATTTTTTATGCTGTCAAGTGGAAATTACCTAAGCTTCTTTATCTATGCTTTGTATTTCTTATTTTCTCTAGTTGGTAATATTTTTTTTTCTAAATTGAAATATGTGCAAAGAAATCTGGAATGTATTTCTGAAACATAAGGAATTAGTTAATCACTAACATTGACACAGGCAGAGAACTGACTGGTTGAGCAGCAGCATTGCTGAAAATGACGTGGAGGTAGACATGAGACTGAATTATGAGCTAACAAGTGTTCTCCAGTTGGAATAAAGTAAACCACATACAGGCCTATGTTAGTAAAACTGCAGCTAGCAGGTGCTTGGTGGTGCTGCATCTGATGTGCTGGGTCAGGTTTGGGACCTTCTCCACTCTCATTTCTACAGGAGAGGTGGAGAAACCAGAGAGGGTTCAACAAGGAATTAATTTATGTTCAGGGGCCTAGAAAACAAGACCTTTGAGGAGAGTTTCAAGGAGCGAAGTTTGTTGAGTCTGGCATAGAGGAAGTCAAGGAGCGATTGAAACTGTCCTGCGAACCTTAGGAGCCCAGCTGGTTAATCTTCAAGGACAGCTTCCTAAAACCACAAGAACTGTTCATGCTGTTATGCGGAGAGTTGAGTGAGAGTATGGCAGAAGGCCAGCATGGATAAACAAGATGCTTCTGACTGACCTCAGACACAAAAACAAAGTAAACCATGGAAGCAGGGGTGAGCTACTCAGTAGGAACATAGTAACATTGCCAGAGCATGTGGTGATGGAGTTAGGAAAGCAGAAACTCATCTGGAATTAGAACTATTGAGAAAGTTTAAGGGCAGCATGAAGGGCTTCTGTTAAGTGCATCCATGGCAAAAACAAGGGTGAAGAAAATGTTGACTTCCTGCTTAATAAGGGACATGAAAAAGGCTAAGAGTACCCAATTCTTTTTTTTTTACCTTGTTTTTTCTCTAATAAAGCTTACCCTCAGGCCTTCCAGGTTAGTTAAACCTCCTAGCAGAGAGTGTGATAATGAACCATTGCCCACTGAAGTGGAAGGGAATGCTAAGGAGCACTTAAGCTACTTGGACATTTTCAAGATGCTAACCAGTATGTATCCAGGGGTGCTGAGGGAGCTGGCTGTCACTGAAGGGCTGTCATTATCAAAAAATAATGATGGCTAGGGGAGGTCACTGATGACTGGAAACAAGCAAACATCACATTCATCTTCAAGAAGGGTCCAGCGAACTGCAGGCTAGTCACCCTCACCCCTGTCCTTGTAAAAATTATGTAGCAAATCCTGGAAGGCATTTCTAAAGACATGAAGAACTAGAAGGTGACTGTGAACAGCCTGTGTGTATTTACCAAGGACAAATCATGCTGACCAACCTGATTGCCTACTGTCATAAAATGACCATCACTGTGGATTAGGGGAGAGCAGTGGATGTTGTATACCTTGATTTCAGCCAGGCTTTTGGCACAGTCTCCAGATGTATAATTATACTAGAATCTGTGAGGTTCTGACTGGATAAATGGACAACAGGGTGGATGGAAGATTGGTTTGATTGTTGGTGTCAAAGGTGGAATAACTGCTCTGCAGTCCAACTGCAACTTAGTATCTAGTGTGCATCTTAGTATCACTTCATGGGGTGATACTGGGGACAATATTTTTTAACGTCTTTATTAATAACCTGGATGATGGGAGTCTCAGCAAGTTCATGGATGTTATCAAATGTGAGTACACTGGAAGGTAGGGCAAGAACAATATTCAGTGTGACCTCAACATGCTGGAGAAATGAGGTAATGCAGAACTCAATAAGTTAAGCAAAGGGAAATGCAGGGTCCTGCCTCTTAGAAGGAGTAGCCTCATGCAGTAGTACAAAATGGGTTAGGTGCCAAATTTCTAGAAAGCAACTGTACAGAAAAAGAGTTGGGAGTCCTGCTGGATGCCCTTGTTTTGGTTAAGGCCAAAGGCATCTCGGGTTGCGTTAGCAAGTGCATGGCGAGCAGATCAGGAGGACTGATTGGTGCTTATGAGACCACATCTGGAGTTCTGTGTCCAGTTTGGAGCTTCCCAGGAGAGGATAGACAGCACCTCATTAGGTATTAATGTATGTATTAATAAAGTGTAGGCCCACCAAGATGGCCAGGGGCTTGGAGCCCATGATGTACAAGGGGAGGGTGAGGGAGGTGGGCTTGTTCAACTTTGAGATGTTTTGAAAAGTGGGAGGGTGGGGTGTGATGTGCAGACTAGTTGCTCTCTGTAACTACTGGTAGGATGTGGAGAAGCCAGAGCCAGACTAGGCCAGGTACACAGTGAAAGAATGAGAGGCATTGAACACAAGCTACAGTCAGAGAAACTTTGACTCTATCTAAGAATAATTTTTATATAATGAACTTGGGATTGAGTAAATACAGGATATATGCAGTCTCACAAATGGGAAAGCTAAATGAAGAAAACATTCCAGGAATTTGGCAAAAGCGAGTAAGTGTTAGCTGTGTTATATGTCCAACAGCTGGAGAAGAATGGGAATCACAGAATTATCCAGGTTGGAAGGGACTTTGAAAGAACATCTGGTCCAACCTTTCAAAAGAAAAGGAAACTAGAAGAACAGAACAGAAGTTGTATATATTTGAAAATTATTTCAGTTATTAGACTCTCATTTTTAGGTGAGGACATGTGGAAGTTTATTTCACTAAATACCATTTTGCTTGCTTGGTCTCAGGAATGCTTCTAAAATTGATTGTATGAGCCATTTCCGCCAAAAGAAACAAACAAAAAGCAACCACTACAGGTAGTTGATGAAAGGTCCAGAACTATTTGATAATCTATACATCTGCACACCTCCAAAGCTTTGAATTTAATTCCCATATGTTTAGTACATGATGCTATATCAGTTGAAAGATTTGACAAATTGCTACAAGAAATTTTGCAAGCTGTTCCAGTTAAATTCACTTAAACCTCAGACTTCTATTTAAGGAAGGGTGAAAGAATGTTTAGACATTGCTCTTTCTAATTTTTTAAAAGAATTTTAAAAAACACCATTAGCTTTTACTTTGGAAATTTTCCACTCTTTTCATCTATAGACCTGTAAAAACCATTTATGTTGCACTGAGACAATGAGACTGAATTCTAAGGAATTGCAAAACCATGAAAACCATGTCCTGCTAGATGATTTGAGGGAGAAAGATTGTTTGGATTTTTTTAATTAGGTAGTTTTTGTGCTGCCTGTATGTAATTTTACTTGTCTGTTTTCTGTATGTCTCACAAAATATGCAAGTATATATTAATAAAAACCTAAAGCATGTGTTATTCTTGTATAATATAGACAGACAGCAGATTATTTGATGAAGACATTAACATAGTAAGATTCTACATTATGATTCTTTTCTGAGCTGAAAGTTAGGAAATTGGAGTTGGACGGAGCATTACAACAGGTCTTTTTATTGAAATATTATCAAACAAAGAACTCAACCTGCTGAAATAAGCTAAGCTTGAATTAATATTTTAAAACTCACTCCTTCTGTGGGTTTTTTTGGGGATTTTGTTTGTTTTGGTTTTAATATATGGGTAGGTGGATGTGGTTTTCCAAGGGAAAGAAGTTAGTTTTCTTTTCATGAATTGTATCTTTATATTGATCTGGGCTGGAGGCCTTCACAGCTGACTAGTTATATTTAAAAATTAAAATTAAGACATTAATAGGAATAAATGTATTAAAATCGGTTCTACAGAAGAACAGAAGGACTATAATGAGCAGGTTTAGAATCAGTTAATAGTTCAGAATTTTTAAATCTGACAAGATCCCTTAGGCTAAGTGGAAAAATCAATGACTGCTCTTAATTGACAAAACTATGAAAAGCCATGTCATTTTTTTGTAGAGGTTTCACACCTTTTTGAATGAGATACAACCAGCATCCAAATTATTTCTTTTATCTTGTAGTAAATGTTCAGTGCAATAGTTATTTTAAAGAATACAATTAATTCAACAATGTTTATGTTTGAGAATTGTATTTTATCCTTCTGTGTTCCAGGGTGAACGTGGCTTTGCAGGTAGCAAAGGCGAAGAAGGTGAAAAGGTAAATTATTCTGTCCATAGTTTTCATTTATTTTTTTGGTTTGACAATTTGATATATGGCCAACCAAGTAGAGCTTTGTGCTGAAGATCTTCCCTACCTCTTTAATTAATAAAATTCTTATTTTTTTCCTATGTAATTGCTTCAGAACAAGTTTTTATGTGTGTTACTGAGTGCCATCAGTGCTTCTTTTAGAATTTTTTTTTCCCTTAAGAGAAGATTTACTGTTGAAGCCCAACAGAACAATAGCCACTGGACTTCAATAGTGTTTGCTGCTATGTTATTTTTATGGCAACTACTAGTAAATATCTGTTTATATAGTATGAAATGTATGATGAGATGATGTGTAGGTATTTATAGTACTTAATTATTGCTTTTTCTACGTTACAATTACTTTTATGGGAACTTATTATGTTGATTGTAAGTACTAAATATTCTACATGCTTTTTTCCTAAGAACCTAAATTTACTGTAATAGCAAAATATAACAATTGCTACAGCGTAACTGACTGCTAAAATTAATTTAAAAATTAATTTTGATTTACATAGTTCTGTGTACTGACACAGTAATCAGTATGAGTTCTGTCTCCTGTACACATTTGACTTGGAGCAAATTGACTTGACTGCCAAGGCCTGAGTCGAATGCAGGTCCATTTACCTCTAGCAGTTCAGTCCCTTTGCTTGATGTACTGGTGTGTTGCCCTGAGGACAGTCTTAATCTCCTGACAGCCATAAAATATTTCTGAGACTAAATTCCAGGATAAGCCTTTCCTTGTTCTTCGCCAGTGAGTATCAGAAATGGAGCTTGAAGTAATTTATCTGAATTGCGTATTTTCTGCAGTGGCCAGAAATAGTTCAACAGCTTATGCATTAAAATGGGAGTTAAACTGGCATTGTACAAGGCTGTCGTGGCTCACAGAATGCCAGCATCGGGTGGCTCTCGATGATGCAACCTAATCTTCTTGTGTGACTTCAGAAAAGCAGGTCTGCACAGGTCATCAAAGGCAAGTAAGCCTGTGTTGAGGGACAAGTGGAAGGAGTTTGCCTAACAGGAATTAAAGTAACAGTGGTGATAGTTCACGGTTGTAACTTCAGTTCTTGACCAGGTTAGCCTGGTAACTGCTTTTTCACTGGTTTTGGCTGATTTGGATTAGGCAACCTCAAATATGCGTCTTTTCTTGGGTCATAGGTAGTTTCTCTGTGCTTCAGCCTATTGTCTGAAAAAGGTGCAGAAAAGCATTTCTGCTGAATTTATATATCATAAAGATGAAGAATGAGAGAGACTGCTATTCTGGCAATATTCAGACTGATGAAAATAGAGAGTAGGTGACAGCTTCTGAATTTAAAGAAGCGTAATATATTTGTGATTTAGGCTACTTTGGACATCAATGTATTCACTCACTCACCATACCTCTTCATAAGTGTCAGACATCTTTCCAGTGTTCATATTTTAAAGAAAGATTTAAAATGTGGAGTTTTTTAAAGGAGGAAGTATTCCAGTAGCCAGGATAGAAGAAGTATCAGAATTAAAACCCAGCATCCATAGCAACTAACATTTATAATGTGAGAATTCAGCCTCTGAAAAACACACTTGTTAAGCTTGAGTGTTTCTAACTGCACTGACAGATCTTATTTCCTTGGTGGTATCATTATTCATCAGTTCTGATGGGCTTGTGGATTTTTCTTTATCTTTTTTTTTCCTCCTCCCCATAATTGCTCTGCAGCTGTGCTGTACTCTCCTCAAGTTTTATGAATAAATTGTGTTTGCGCACAGGCACATGGTTCCAGCTGTTGCTGCCACTCTCTTTGCTTGATTTTCCCTGATTTTGAAGCAGAGATAAAATGACCCAACCACTGGCAGTTTCCTTTTTCTTATGTGGAAGCTGAATCAGCATGTTTAGACCATTTTTTTTGGTTTTGTCTTGTAAATTCAGAAGATAATTAAAAGATCCCATTTAAAAATACTTCCAGTGTAACTATTAATGTTGAATTTAACTGTCCTTCAGATAAGGGAAATGTAAGAGTGGAAGAATCTTTATTAACCAGCAATCACTTGAAAATAATTTGGGTCAGTCTCATCAGAAGCTACACATATTTGTGAGAAAGAGTACGTTTTTCAGGTTATGGGAAGTGGGTCTTTAGCAGTTAACCAATTCAGCTTTAATTCAAATAATTATTTAAGAATAACACTGTTGAGTTTCTAGTTACTAAACTCCAGTATAAAAAAATGTATCAACACATTTACATTTTAACATAACATCACAAAATATAATAGTTATACATACTACTTTCTGTGTAACGTGATTACAAAGCCTGAAGTGGAAAATTTTCCTATTACCAAAAAATTCTGCCTCATCTTGCAGATTAAGGAACAAGATTCTTGCATATCACCTAGGGTGGGACACAGCTGCCTAAACATGGGATATTTGCCATTCCAAACTCTGCACAAAAGTGCATGAAAATGTCACATTTTTGGTTTAGTGACCCTATAATTCCATAGGACTGAAAACTTGAAACCAGCTCAGCCTTATACCTCTTGGTTCACTAAATAAAACTTAGTTGATTTATTGTATCATGTTCTGCTTTGGCAGAGCAAGCCTTGGGGACATCAGAGAGATGTAGACAACTGAGGCGACAGTGAGTGATCATTCGTACACTACAGTTATGGGAAACATCCATAATTTAAATATTGAGGGAGATTCTTTCAGCCTGTTTAAAGGCTTCTTTGCGACACTTGGTTCTTCTTGAGGAATCCAAAAGTCTTTTTCTGCCTTCAGCCTTTTTTTTGGCCATGGTTGAACTTGGTTCTCCCTTGCAGAACCCAGTAATCGTAAGGGAAGCTACAGACTGCATGTGCAGGTGTTATGCTGCAAGTTTTCCCTCCAAGGGAAATACACTCTAACTGTGAATTTATTTTAATTCTACTTTGTATTCTGCTTTCCTTGTGTTACTTAGATAATGACAGTCTTATATGGTGGTCTTATAACTGCAACGAAAACTTTGGTTTACCCTTATATAGCATGACTGAAAAAGTATAGCTGAAAGCAGTTTTGATTAGTATGCTGCCAAGGCAGACTGTCCTCTTTGTAATACTGTGGATCTGTCTTCCTTGTAATACTGTTTAGAGCTGTAATTTTACAGTATGGTATAGAAAATATGACTATTACATTTCATGATGATAGGAAGTCAGGAGGGAAGTCAGGAGGGACTGATAATAACTAGAAGAAATACAGAATGTTCTTGGTATATCCGAGATGTAGTTGAAAAAAAGTAGGATCAAACACAGAAAGAATAAGTTCAAGGAACTATTTGTAGGGGAGAATAAATCTGAGCTGCAAAAATCCCAAATCAAGTAATATCTACTCAGAAATTAAAATCTGAGGGTAGATCAAAAGCTGAACACAGGTAAATGAAGTTGCAACTGAAAGACTTCTACTAGGATGTTCCAAAGTAGAGTATTGTCTGCAACAGTAATTAAAAAGTCCTGTGCTGTTTGGTATTGATATAGCTTCAGTTTAACAGATTTTGAAAGGCGAGCACTGAGAATGACTGAGTGCTCAGGAGCACAGAACCTTTGAGGCAGGGTTGCATGATTGGAGATTACTTAGTGTGGAGTCAGCTGAAAAGAAATATGTTAACAGTCTTCAAATACATAACATTGCTGCAGAGAGGAGAGAAATGGTCTATTGGTGTGACTGTAGTGTATGCAGAACAATGGGCTGGAAGTGCAGCAAGGAAGATGCTGTGCAACCAATAGGAAAGGCTTTATAATTTTAACACTGTTATTTATTATGGAAGTAATTTCCTCTTCCAGTGGTGTCACTTTTTATCCTGGTGGCACTTTTCATTCTGGTAACTCGAAAGGGAATTAAACTAAAGAAATACTTGCTTCATGAGATTATCTTAAATGATTTTTCCTTTTTCTGTTAATAGCATCAAAATTATGCAAGACATCACTTATTTCTAATTGGATAAGCACAGATAAGCAAGAGAGTTTCTTTTTAAACTTTTTTGGTTTTAATGGCCAGTTAATAGTTTTCTGTGATAGGACAGTAAAGCTCTGGAACAGGTTGCCCAAAGTGGTTTTGCATCATCTTTTCATTGAGATTTTCAAGACCAGCCCTGAGCAACCTGGCCTGATTAACTAACAGGCTCTGGGCCTGGATTTCAGCCTCTGTAGGTTTCAATATCTCAGACCTATCTTAAAACCTGCAGAGGTTGAAATCTGGTTTATTATAATTTATTTTGATACTAAAGTATGTGCATCCCTTGGGAATTGGAATTGTCCCAAAGCCTGTTAGTTAATCAGACAAATAATCTCTAAGATGCTTTTTTCCTTTGTTAAATCTGTAATTAATTCTCTTTTAATCTCCTGGTTATTGCTTCCTTTGGTCACTCTAGCTAAGTACTCTTTACCCAGGTCGCCCGTTTTTTCTGTCATCTTGTTTACCTTTTTGGATAGAATATGTATTTTCTTTAGTGTACTTCAGATATGATTCTTTCTGTAACTGAGCTAGAAAACGGAGAATTCAGTTTTGTGGGATACATGGAACATGAACACTACATAAATTTCATTACCATTTGGCAGCATGTGTGGAACAAATCTGAATTTTATTTGAAATAGTGGTGATAGAAAAGCCAACACATTTACATCTTAACTATAGCTGAGCGAACATGACTTAATTGTCACGAACATATAATAGTGATTTCATGGAGCTGGGAATCCCAAATTCCTTGCCTTCCTTAGCTACTTCAAAATGTTAGCATAAAATCTCTGTTTCTCCTTTAACTCAGGGAGGCAAGTAAGGTTCACTGCTATATAACTAAATCATAGTACTGGTTGATATCTTAGGGGACTTGGAAGTTGTGGGTGGCTGAGTAGGAGGATAGCTGTGCTCTGGAGAAGGGCTCTTCAATTGCAGTTTTCCTGGGCTGGCTACTTTGCTTTATAAAGCATATTCCCCTCCCTACTCACACTTGAAATAGAGGATTTTAAAACTGGAT